ATGTAGCTTCTTATTGAACATTACTGTATATACCTATCTTCCTTGTCATTCCAATCCCATTAAATGGTTTATGCTTATATACTGCATTTTAAGAATTTAAGTTGCCATCTTGTAATCTGCAATAATTTCTTAGAAATACCTGTCAATACACCTTCATTTCTGAATGTGAAACTAGCCCTGAAAAAACAAGTTATTACACAGGCTGATTAAAAAATACAAACAAACAAACAAAAAGGTAACCAATAAGAGCAAAGAGCTCTATTCTGAACAACCCAGGCAAATGTCTTCCATTAACTAGAAAAGAGAAATCACCAGAATGTTCCAGATGGAGGCTGTGGGATTATCTGTTCAGATATGGGACATACTGGGCACTACTGACCCAGCCCCCAGCAGACATCACTAATCAATTACTTTACTCTTTGCCACTGAACTTGGTATTCTCAACAAATGCTCCAGACCCCCAAAAACCCACTGCCATTAGGTGGATTTCAACTCACAGCAACTACAGGACAGCACAGAACTGCCCCTATAGGGTTTCCCAACCTATAAATCTTTACAGAAGCATACTGCCACATCTTCCTCCCATGGAGCACCTGGTGGGTTCGAACCATCGACCTTCTGATTAACAGCTGGATACCTTAACCACTGTGCCGCCAAACCTCCTTAAGGCTTCAGAAAGTCACTACCAATTTGTCAGTCTTGGCACTAGAAGTGAAACTATCTGCCACCCTATTCTGGTTCAATCACCTTATTCTATAGGGAAGGAAACAGATCTGGGAAGATAAAATGACTTCTCTCAAAATTAAACAGCCTCTAACAGGCCATATAACTCAAACTCCTGACTCAAAATCAGAATTTTTCATGATCACTTCCTTCCTTTCTAATCTACCCTTGATCAAGTCTCAGTTTTCTAAGGCTTTGATGACTATTTTTATTCAGTACTCATCAATTGCTTTATCACTGAAGTGTCTACATAATTTACATTTTATGAAGATTTGAAGCATTTCCTATTTTCTCTTCCCTGAAAAGTATTTTGAAGTAAGAGATTTAGTGATTTTTTTTTCCTCCACGGCCTCCACTGTGGTTTGGGGGCTTATAATCATCTTAGGCAATGTCAGGAAGAAAGCCTAATCAAGGTCTACGGGAAAAGATCAGTGACAAAGAAGAGACTGAAATTTTTCATTTGTTGAAGAAGACTAATATGAAAAGAAAAAAGTACCATACCACAAAAAGAGATTAAGATAATGGAAGAAAAGGAAAAAAGCAAAAGGCTGGAAGAGAAATTTGTTGTTATGTGCTGTCGAGTCGGCCCCAACTCATAGTGACCCCTCCTTGGGTTTCCGAGGCAGTATCACTACGGAAGTAGGATTGCCCAACCTTCCTTCCAGAGAATTTTCTAGAAAATAAGAAAAGGCAGAAAAATCATCTAGGGAAGGGACTAGAGATAAGGTTCTGTATACATCAGGCATTTGACGGAATCAGTTTCTCCAACATAACCATACGATTGGCACCGTTTCTTTGAATCATGGAAAACACACTTATTTTGTGTTTTGTTTGTTTTATAAATTTTACTCTCATTTTTCTTTTCCAAGGTTGGGTTTCTCTTTAACGAAAAGACCATTCTCACCTTGTCAGATAATATGACTGAATCAGAGCCTCTCATCCCCAACATACTGAACTGTATAAGCATTTTGTTTTTTTTTTAAATGTGGACCTTTTAACAATTTCTCAGAACTAAAATTTCCCAAGTCCTCTCTTAGCAGCACAGGCTGCCAAGACAAACAATAACTGGTCACTCCACCTTAACCTCTGCCATCCACTTTGTTCTAGACCTGCCTTCCTTTGTCTCCCCACCGTGTCAAGCTATTACCCAGAGTGGGGACACTCCGTCTCTGGGTGAGGAGGCACAGTTCTCTGGGGACCTTTGCGTCATGCAGCTCTAATGTTTCTGTAACAAAACCTGACACAGAGTCTTATCCCCACCGAGGGAGTATCTGAATGACAACAGTGACAGTGATGACAATGGCAACGATGGGGACGATGACAACACAACAGCAACAACCTTAACGCTACAACTGCCAAGCCTTTCTTTATCTCATATCATCCTTATAAACTTTAAGGCAGACATAGCATTGCTACACCCATTTAAGAAACAAGAAGGAGCTTTGGAAAGGTGAGGCTATATATGTAAAGCCTAGCTAGTCAGTGGTAGAATCAGGATTAAAACTCAGATTCTTTTAGGCCTTTTTTTTTCCCAAAAAGGAGAGTAAACTTTGAAAGGAACTATGATGTAGACTTTGTCTGAAGCAGAGGTCAGGCAGTTAAGACAGCTTGTGCCACACACATTTGGAAAAGAAACTGTTAATATGGCTCTAGACTTACCTTTTTTTTTAAAAAAAAAAAAAAAGGTCCATTTAATTTGGTACAGGAATCCCACTTTGGAAATCTATTTAAAGGAAGTTAACTAAATTTGAAAAATATTATATGGATGAAAGCTACTGATGGTGGTATTTCTAGTACCATAGAGATGGAAGCTGGGTAATGAGAAGGAAGGGCACAGGAAGGATTGGCGCATTCCAGTTGTGGTGCTGGTGAAGAATACTGACGATACTGTGGGCTAACGGAAGAACAAATCAATCAGTCCTAGAAGAAATACAAGTAGAATGTTCCTTACTACGGGGATGGCAAGACTTTGGTGCACTTACTGTGGACACATCATCAGGAAAGTCCAATTGCTAGAAAAGGACATCATGTTTGGAAAAACAGAAGTCAGTGAAAATGAGGAAAGCCCTCATTGAGAAGGACAGAAAAGCCACAACAGTGAGGTCAAACATACCAACAGCCATAAAGATGGTACAGAAACAAACGATATTTTGTTCTGTTATATATACAGTCACCATGAGTCAGAGCTGATTTGATGGTAACTAACAACAACAAAGATGGAAGCAACCTATTAGTCCAAACAGGTGAATGGTAATATAAATGATAATAGTCTGTTAATGAAAGAATTTAAAGTTATCAAAAACATAAACTTTCTGTAGTTCTATTTAAAATTGTACACTTATTTAAGACATAGTGAAGAAAGAATACAAATCAAAACTGTCTCTTATACATGCAAATATGTGAAAAATGCTTTAAAGAGATTAGCAAGGAATCTTCAGCAATTACACTAGTTGCTGTATGGGATGGAAACACAAGGAGGGTTTGTACTCTCACTTTTGGTAAAACTGTTTCATAATTTCAAAATAATTTTCATTTTAGTATAACCTTCAAATTAGAAAGATTAGAACAAAGTGCTGGCTTGGACTAGTGAAGACATCTGTGGTTCTAGGGCTGAAATGCTTTAGTCAGAGGTTACTCAATTCTTCAGAAGACTCAATTAGAAGAATGTCATTAAAAACACAGGAAACACTGTCCACTTGGTGACCACACATAGTGGTGGTGACGTAACAGTTAATGTCAGAATCCATTAAAACAAATACAGGAACATGATTAAAGCAGAAGAGTCTGAGGGACAGGGTGGAGCTACTGTGGACACTAGCATCTATGCTCACTTAAGGCATGGAGAACACACCAGGGGAAGTGACATGAAGGAGGAGATTTGTGTGGGAAAACACCAGGACAGTGACATGAAGGAGGAGATGCGTGGGGAA